AGTAGTAGTAGTAGTAGTAGTAGTATTAGTAGTAGTAGTATTAGTAGTAGTAGTAGTAGTAGTAGTAGTAGTATTATTAGTAGTAGTAGTAGTAGTAGTAGTAGTAGTAGTGGTGGTAGTACTACTACTAGTACTACTGCTACCAACTGGTAGTAGAGGTAGCAGAAGTAGTAGTAGCAGTAAAGTAGCAGTAGCAGAAGCAGTAGCAGCATGAGTATGAGTAGGAGTAGTATCATGGAACAAAAACGCAGGAAACGATGTCGAGACAAACAGCCGTCAATAATCAACACTCTTAACACATTGGTTGAGCACAGACAGAATCAACACCAGACAGATGGGAAACCGAAAAGCCAAAAAAAAGAAGCTCGAACACTAATCAAGCAAGATGCCTTCAAAACAACAAACGAATCTCTCCTTCGAACCCACCCCAAAGCCTGGGCCTAGACCTTTCAAAAAGGCTTCTTCTGCTCACCTATTTTTCACTCCGAGCAGCGGCCGGCCGCATGGCTGAAGCCGTCGAATAGACAGCGGAATTTTCAGCGTGCCTTGGGGTTTAGGGTTTAGGGTTTTTAGGGTTTAGGGTTTAGGGTTTAGGGTTTATTGGGAACCTTGTTTCTCACTCTAAGTACCTGCCTACATTCATGAACCACTTGATTCATTATGGGCAAAGGCTCCAATTCCCGTCGCCGCGTCTGCCAGTGCCATGGATGCTTGGAAGGAACCGTCGATCAGCGAGGGCCCAAGCCAGAAGCCAACGTGAGTTCCATCCTTCTCCATCTCCAGGCGAGCGAACGACTCTTTGTCTCCTGCACCCCACAAGGGCGACAAAGATAGCGATCGTCGAAGTGGTCGTAACAGGAGCAGCAGCACGTAACACTGAAACCGATCAGAAGAACATTGCTATCTATGTGAGAAGTACCAACCAACTCGAGAAAGCTGGCCAAGCTGCCCTTCTGCACATGTCGCACCGTGCGGAAGCGCGGTTGGAGCGGCAAGCCGCTCTTGCGGCCGAAGGAATACATGAGGTCAATGTCCACGGGCTCAGGGCCTGGGTTCCCAGAGAGGTTTTTAATGTCACGGTTCTGACAATGATAGAATGATAACTGATACCGGCGAGGATGGTAATTAACATGGATGATGGTGATGCATAATAGCAATGATAAAAATGCTTCAAGATTGCACACCTGATCGTGGTCATGTAATAGCGACAAGGGTGGTCCGAACATGGACGTCCCCCGTCTCGTGATTCAGCTTTTGCTGGCCCAGTTGCACTGTGATCGGAGCTGGTTCAGGTCAAAGCCGTCCTGCAGAATGCAACTTGGACGTGCCGGGGGCTACCAGAGAAGTGCTGTCTCCGTCCCTGAAATGATGGGGATGATGGTGCTGATGATGGTGCTGCTGATTGCTGATAATGATGATCTCCACCGCGGTAGTGGGTCGAGATGTTGGTATGAGGCTAGTGACCGTGCGGATGGTCGCGAATGGGGATGATGATGATCATGATGATGAGGATGATGGTGATGATGATGACGGTAATGATGAAAATTATGGTGATGGTGATGGCGATGGCGATGTTGATGCTGATGATGAAGACGAGGATGAGGATGAGCCCTCAGACCGGACCTTACGCCACAGACCACGACATGCTGAAAACCTCGGATGCTGCGATTAGGCTGCACATTCTGCGCGCCTTCCTCGAACGCGCCTCCGTAATGCCCGAACCGTAGTAACGTCCATGTTCCCAGTGCATACTTTGGGACCGAGCATCCATGCCCGAGCCGTAACAACGTCCATGTTCGCAGTGCTGGGACGGAGCATCCATGCCTGAACCGTCCTAATGTCCATGGTGCCAATTCAGTTTTGCGTTTCAGCCGGTGTGAGAACCACCATGAAGCACCAAAGTATATACGAGACGATGTTTCAGATATCAGGTTTGCAGTGGCGCGTTTAGAAGAGCTGATTGCTGGGGAGTGCAGCTGCAGGGGCGTGTCATCACGACGACTTCCGCCCGGCACCCCGCCCGAAAGGTAGTGCACTTGGATGATTTCTTAGCCAAATATCATCCTAGCATAAGAATAATTGAAGAGCCTTTGTCTGTAGTCGCAACCTCGATTTATACGGCATTTGCAAGGGTGTCGTACTTCTGCACACACTTTGCCTTATGGAAGCGCGGCAAGACACGCAGACTGAGTTAGGATGAGGGTGATGGGCAGGAGGGGACAGAGGAGGAGCAGAGGGGAAGAGGAGGAGGGCGTTCATGATTGTTTTGGTGCTACAACCCGACCAGGCAGTAAGTGTCAGAAACACGTGTCGGGGACGACGGGCAACCAAGCGAAGCACAGGGGGCTGTGAAAGGGACATTTTCGATGGCAAAAGTGCCCAAAACACGCAATTCCGAAGCACATGGCATTCATGGCATTGTGCCTCCCGGGTTGCCCTGTCTGGTTTGCAAGCGACTCGACGATTTGCATTCATGGTACTTTTTTGTGACACTAATGATGACCACCACTTCGATCTCGGGCATCATCTTACACTGGTAGCGTGCATCCGCCATTTCTGATAGCTACAGACATACTGCCAAACCAAAAACACTACAGGTTGTATGCAGAATTCCTTCACCGGGGGTCCTGCTCTGGTCGGTTTGTCTTCACCCAGCCGCCAGACTTCATGACCAGTGTTGCCTCCACATGCACCGAGACGATGCTGTCCTCAGGGTCGCTGCCTTAGACGACAGACAGGCAAGATGTATCAGCTGTAGCTGTGAGCTTCTCCGAAGTGTCTCAGGCATGCACCGATCTCACTCTCCACCTCAAGCCGTCCATCCGGCCGCAGCACCAAGCGCATCTCTGTGGGTTCCTCTAAAGATCCGTCTGGCAGGAGCCTGGGCATTCCAAGCCGGTTTCGGTTTAGGGTTTAGGGTTTAGGGTTTAGGGTTTAGCCGCTACTTGCGGACCAAGGGCCGAAGAACCAACGGCTTTGCGAAGCCCAAGTTCTCGACACACCAAGCTTCGCTGCCTCAAGTCGTGGAGAGCGATATACTGGTAGGGTGTCATGAGACTGCCATATTCGAGTTTTCGGCACGACCAGGGTTGTCCTGTAGCACAGCTTTCGCGAATTTAACGAGTGCAGTTAAGGCCACCACCTACAAAGGTCGTGCATCCGGCAACGATCATCTCCAAATAGCACGCGCCGGGAACGACAACCTGCAGTGTCTGACAGTCATACAATGAACATGATTTTGTCATAGGTCTAGGTATACAGCGCATTTCTAGTACCCAGAATGGTGAATAGCTCTTTGCCTTGCGCTACTTGTCAAACCACAGCAAGCCTAAGCAGGTGAGCACGCCTCACCGTGCACGATGTGGTGGGAGAGAAGAGCGAGAACATGGCCGCCGAAGGAGCAGCTGAACACGGTTGCTCCATCTGCTCTCGTGGTTCGTCGCTTCAGCAGGGGATGGCTGGCTTCCCGCCAGGGGTAGGCCTGCCAATGCACAGAAGCTGCTAGCAGCGCTTCAGTCTGACGTAAAGATTCGAAACCTACAGACTGCCAGCTCAGCAGTCTGCCACTGTCGACAAGAACTTATCATTTGTGCGGCCCTCGCTGGCCTGACGCTCCAAGTCGGCTGCAGAGCGCTTCACCGCTGCCAGTCCTGTGCCCGGACACCCCAAGCCGAAAGGCCTGAACTAAACTTAGATCCTTCCATATCCTTCCTCAGCAAGTCAAGAAGCCTCATCACGACCGAGACTTGCTCTTCATATCTCTTCACAGCTCGAGCTAGCTATCCACGCATCCGTCCATGTGAGAAAGAGAGACACGGAGCGGGACACGGAGCGGGATACGGGGAATTACGCGAGGCCCCGGAGCTGAGTCGAATCCCCCCACAAAAAGTACCGAACTAGAGCGGTAAACTGCGGAAGGTCTGGGCGAGGGACCAGAACCCTGCATGGTGGAGTTGGACTTTAGCGCCGATTTTAGAAGCAGACCCGCCGACAGTCTTCGAGCACTTGGGGAACGGAACCCCGATCTCCGGCGTTTAACCCTAATATAGGCCCCCGAACAGGAACCCTCACATCACTGCCTAGAGCAACACCGCCACCGACCTGCTTTCGACCTCGTCGCCGGCCGGGCCAGCAGCACGTGTCCATTGGTGCCGCCGAAACCGAAGGAGGAAACGGAGGCAGCTGCTATCGCTTGACTGGGGCCTCGGGCAAAAACAGGGGAAGGAATCACTTGGGTTTATGCTGGGTTTGGGCTGAGCTGCAAAGGGTACCAATGCAAGTCGCTAACTAGCTAGGCTTCTTGGACATCTGCATCGACGCCTTTACCCATACCAAGTCATGGCACATGCGTCCGAAACAAAGTTCACAGGGAAGTCTTGCATGTCATCGTAGATGTGCGAGTTCATGACGCGGAGGTGCAGATTGGCCGGCAAGCAGTTGCGGGACAGGATCGATGCCAGCTTGGTAAGTCCGACCATCCCCGCACCACCCTCCAAGTGGCCAACGTTGGTCTTCGCCGCGCCGAGCTGCACGGTCTGGAGCCGTGAGCCTCCAAGAACCGCCTTCAAAGCTCCGACTTCGATGGGGTCTCCAAGAGCCGTGCCTGTACCGTGGGTCTCCACACAGACATGCTGAGCCGGTTGGACCTGAGCTTCCCCAAGTGCAGCCAACACCACTGCCTGTTGGGATGGGCCATTGGGCGAAGTGAGGTTCGAGCTTCGTCCATCTTGGTTCAGAGCTGAGCCATGCAGCTCGGCCAACAGCCCTGCATCTGGGCCGGCACTTACCTGACTTCCCAGACGCTCCAGGGCTTGGGCACCCACGCCCTCACCACGAGCATACCCACTGGCAGTGTCATCAAAGGTGCGGCACCGTCCACTCTTTGAGAGCATTTGGGCCTGACAGCAGGCAACGAAAGTCTGAGGAAGCAAAGTCATGTTCACACCGCACACCACTGCCAACTCAGATCTTCTGCGTCGAAGAGTGACTGCGGCAGTGTCCGCTGCAACCAACGACGACGAACACGCCGTGTCCATTGTTGCACTTGGACCTTTCAGTCCCAGCACATAGCTGATCCGGTTCGCACTGATGGACGAGGAGCCACCGGTGGCTGCATAGGGACCGCTTTGGTCGCCGGTGATCATTCGATTCCAATCGCACTTGTCCTGGCCCACAAAGACGCCTCCATAGCTGCCCATGAGGGTGCTTTTGCCGAGGCCGGCCGCTGTGAAGGCCTCGAAGGCTGCCTCCAGCAGGTGCCGTTGCTGTGGGTCCATGGTCTCTGCTTCGACCTTGTTGATGTTGAAAGCCTCATAAGACAAGAATGTGTGAACGATGGGGCTGCATTGAAGGGAGAGAAGCTACATCGATGGGTTTATCGGCTTAATTTAATGTAGCAATGTAGCACGACTCCGGAGCCATGCCGGCCCTCACTGAGCGCCGGACAGCTGCTGCAAAGAGCTCAACACCCTCGATAAATGCCGCATGTTTCACGTACATCTTAAGGCCAGTTGTTGCATCAGGGTCGTAGTAATCATCCACATCCCATCTGCTCTGCGGCATTTCCACACTGCAGTCCACACCCTGGGAGAGCATGAAATCAAACTTCTCCAAAGACCAGCTGTCACCTGGGAGATGGCAGGCTCCCCCCAGAATTGCAATGGCCTCGTTGGAAGCAGGGGCTCCCGGCTGAGGCATGGCCAGGGTGGGTGTTGTGGCCGTCTCCGGCACCAACTGCTCGGAAACGTAATCCGCAAGCGCGGTGAGGGTGGGGTAGTCGAACATGAGCGTGCTGGGCAAAGTGACCGAGCGGAACTCGTTCGAGACCTCCCAATCAAGATTTCAACTCGAGCTGCGGAGACTCTGGTTACGGACGGAGAAGCCTACCCATTGTAGTGTGCTAGCATATCGCATAGGTTATGTTGCATCCGTTCTACTTGGTCATAAACTCGTATCTTCCTATGCTCTAAAAAAGCACCCTGTATTACAATGGCACAAGCATAACAAGAACACGTGAAACGTGATATGTTCAAGTACACTGTGCTCTAGTTTGCTGCATTTTGGTATGTCTGCGATGCTACATGTCAGAATGTGAGCACCGTCGTGCGCTCTATCATGTACTACACACCGGACTCTGCTCTGATTACAAAGGGCGAGCTAAAATAAGCAAAACAGGAGTTGGGTCGATGGTTTCTTTTGCAAGCTTGTAGGGGACATGGTTATGAAGCAATGCTCTGACCGATTATGTTATAGTCTAATGCCATCAGCCCCCTCAACCGCAAAAGCATACACCCTCACTGCTAAGCCGTAAACTCCAACCCTGACACCGTTAAACCCTTAAAACCCTAAACCCTAAAACCCTAATCCTTAAGACCCTGAACTCTAAACAACGTAAACCCCCAAAACCCTAAAGCCCTAAAAACCCGAAAGCCCTAAAAAAAAACTAACACCCTAAAACCCTAAGAACCCTAAACCCTAAAAACCCTAAAACCCTAAAAGCTCCAAGCCGGCCTTGTTCCGGAATTCCACAGCAGACAACGAATCGATCCCAGCCTCTCCAGCGCTCTTCGGGGAGTTGTGGGTTTCAGGGTTTAGGGTTTAGGGTGTTTTTTTTGAGGACCTTTTTCCTGGGCTACGTCCAAGAGAGCCCGTTTGGGCAGGTCCTTGGGGTAGAGGTTGTATCCCTCCACCAGCGTTACTCCCTTCACTCCTTCACCGTATGGAGCTCTGGCTAGTGGCTTAGTGCTAGTGCTTTACGGTCAGCTCAGATCTCAATTCATGCCCTCAGCGGTCGATCATCACTTCGCGTTTAGGGCTTAGGGTTTAGGGTTTAGGGAGTTGTGGGTTCCAGGGTTACGGCTCGCTCTCGGGTTCAGGAGTTTCTGGCGTGGCTTAAGGGTTTCGGGTTTAGGGGTTCAGGGGTTTAGGGTTTGAAGTCTACAGGTATGGCTACACGGTGTTGGATCTTAGGTTTTTGTGCTTTTGGCAGTGGGTTTTGAAACCTTTGGCAACGAGCCTCCATGAGAGGCGTGTTGTCGTCCATGTCCTTGGTTTCTTTCTTTCTTTCTCTCGGTCCGGTCACCGGTTTAGTTGGTTTCTGCTCTGTCTTTCTTTCCCGCTCGCAGCACTCTCACTGATATGCTCTTAACCGCACAGCCCTCCGCCGCCGTCGAGGCGTTTCAGCCGGCCTAAAGTGCCAAGCCCTGGGCCATGATGAACTAATCCCGAAGACTACTACCTACATCTCGAAGCAAAAGATTTGACCCAAGACCCTCCACAGACACAAGTCATCGTGACAAGAGGAGCAGGGATAGCCGTCAAGATCATGATCAGACCTGGAAACCAGCCCTCAAACGTCCTGCCAGGTCTCCAAACCCATGCCCGAAGCCGCAGCCCTGATGGACTTCAGCACCTCTCCGCGGCGTTCCTCCAGCGGCAGCTGTGCCAAAGCGCCTCCAGCACCTGCAAAAAAGGGGCTTTAGGAAGGATTGTGAAGGGGCTGTGTTTTCGACGCTCCCCGACCTTGAACCGTCTTGCCGGCTCCTGACTCCTCCTTGGACTTCAGATCCATGAGCTGCGGGATCTCCATGCCAATCTCTCGCATGAAGGATGGCCAGTCGACTCTGGCCAACATGACTTCGGCACGAGGCGTCGGGGCCGCGAGGCAGAGGCGCAGGGCGCTGCCCACTTGTGCTGGCGACAGCGTTTTCAGGGCCATGGCCTCCAGGTTATCACTGCCTGCTGCCGCGGTGATGCCCACCTCAGACACCGGGCCCCACTGAAGGCTGACGCCAGAGCGGCCAGCGCCACGGCGCCAGGTGGCCAAGGCATCCAAGTACGCATTGGCAGAAGAGTAGGAGGCTGAGCCGGCAAGGCCTCCCCACACACGAAGGTTTACAGCTTCAAAACCGCTCACAAGCATACGGACTCACGGATGCACAGGCCTACAATAGCGGAGACGGAGCTGAAGAGAACGAAGAGGCTACTGTCCGGGCACTCGCTGTGCAAGTGCCATGCGCCATTGGCCTTTGGAGCCAGCACCTCTGGACCCGACCATTGCGAACTGCTTGGGGCGAGGGAGAGGTCTATTATACACTATATATTATATATTATATATTATACATTATATATTATATATTATATGCTATATATTACATATTATATATTATATATTATATGTTATATATATTATATATTATTAGACCAGGTCCGGTGGGATTGGACCACGGGAAGCGTAAGCGTCTTTCCACGGCTTGCCTTGTTGAGATGCGCGGTGTCAAGGTCCGGCAGGGGGCAACGATCCATGACGCCGGCCGCATGCACAACGCCTGAAGCACTCTCAGACTCAGTGCCTGGAAGTAATCAAGGGATGGGTCATTAGGTCAGCCCTGCACTGCAAGCAGGCCTTGCACGGGTTCGCCCGCATCTTTGGCCTCCTTGACGAGCTTGGCGACATCTCCTGCTTCGCCGGCATTGCAGATCTTCAGCTGCACGTTCCTAGGAAGGCCAGCACATGGAAGATGCCCCCATGTGTGCTGGGGCCCTGCTCAGGCTGAGATCGCGAAAGCTCGTATCATCTCGTATCCAAAGGATCTTTGAGTCAAGGCTCAGGCCCGGCAGGGCCTGCAGCTTTCGAAGCTGCTCTTCCAGACGCTTCTGACCTAAGGAGGCCCAGACAAGCAGTGTCTAGTTCTAGTCTCGTCAAGGATCGGGAACTCGGTACGAACAACGGAAGAACCGTACTAAAAAGGTCCCTGAGCCCAGAAACCAAAATCGCGAAAACTCTACAACCTCAAGCCCCACGGTTTAGGGTTTGGGGCTTGGGGGTTTAGTGCTCCTAAACCCTAGGCCCTAAACCCTGAAACCGAAACGCCTAAACTTGGCCTGAAACCCAAAAAAAAAACCACACAGCTTGCCCCTTGGGCTGCGCACCCTCGGCAACCCGGCCGCTGCGTGAAGTTAGGAGGAGGCCTTCGTTCTTTTGGGTTTAGGGTTTATAGGGTTTAGGGCTTTAGGAGTTTAGGGTTTAGGGTTTAGGATTTAGGGTTTAGGGTACAGGCTTCGGCTTCAGGGTTTAGGGTTTACGGTCTGGGGAATTGTATACTTGTACAGCTTACCTGGCATAGCAGAGGCTACAAACATATACCACTGCTGCTGTAGTGTATACTTTGAGCACCGCATGCCAGAAGTGAAGACGATGTCGCACACTGCTCATTACACTCTTGACCTGAGTGTACTTGAGTGAAAGGATGGGAAAGAGGTGGTAGGGTGATCCGGCCTGGTGCTCCAAGTGCTGCTAGCTCCTCTGCAGCCACCAATCCTTAGGATGAAGGATGAGAGAACGCGGCTTACTCTGGACAGCTCAAAAGAGCGACTGGGTGGCTACTCTTCCGGTTTTGCCGTTGAGGATCCGAGTCCGCCCAAGCCACCCGTCACGATCTGAACGCCCTTCTTGACGTCCACAGCCGAGTCCGCGTCTCTCATGGCATCCTGCCGCTGCATGGCCGCTGCCTCGTTCTGAGGGGCTTCCACCAAGCGAGGAACGCATCTTCCCTCGGACGTGTAAGCAACCTCAACGTCTCCATCTGGTCCCTGCAACTCGGCTGCAATGGCCTTCCCGATGTCTGCGGGACTTGCATCGACTGCAACATCCACAGTCTTGATCGTAACACGAGGCATCTCCATTCTCGCCGAGCGGATCAAGCCCCAGATCAAGGCGCCCGCATCGAAGTTTTCTCGTTTGTCATCGTATGCACCACGCGTCACCACGACCAACAACTTTGGGAGCTCCGCCAGAATGGCGCCCTGCAAGAAGGCGACCAGCTCCTCAAGGTGTGAGCCCGGCAGGGGCTCGGCTCTGCCTGACTCCAAACAGCGCGCAAAGACAGCTGCGGCTGTCCCTGCACGCTTCATCTTCTCGCTGATGTCAGCTGCCGTGCCTACCTCCGTCACGGCTACCGGCTTGCTGGGCATGGCTGAAGTCAGGGAACCCGCCATCGCGTCGCCATCCGTGACAAGCAAGAGCTTTCCATCAAGAGGGGAACTCATGCTGTAGTCGGCCTTCACCCATTCTTCAAAGTAAACCACCTTCTGCATCCACTCCCTCCAGGGCTTCAGCACCTTCCGGGCAAAGCGCATGGGCTTCACCACCTTGGGCTCAGAGGGCTGCGTGAGGATCGCCTCCATGAGTCCGTGGCCGTTGGTGCCGGAGAAGCCTTGGCTGAGACGAAAGCGCCCCACAAGGCTTCGGTTCTTGAAAGAGCTGAAGTGCAACACGATGAGGTTACAGCAAGCAGAATGAACGGCAGAGCGATCGTTGATCCCTTCCTGACTCTGAAGGCATCTTGACACAGGAACTCGCCTTCACTGGCACGAGCCCTTCAACAGGATATACATATATATATATGTATATACATATATATATATGTATGTATTTTCTATATATATATATATACATATACACATATATGTTTATCTATATATATATATATGTTTATGTCTTTATACCCGAGGAGCCAAAGGATGAGACACCGGATCGCAGGCTGGCGCTCTTCCACTCCACGAGCTTATCGGGCATCAGCGTGTTGAAGCCGCCCAAATCGATGTTTGGATTCAAGGTTTCCAAGTGAAGGTTCGGCGTGATCTGTGCCTTGGTGATGGCCAGGATCACCTTGGAGATGCCGGCCACGCCTGCCGAGCCTGCGACGGACTTGAGTCGAGCCAAGTGAGCTCACGACAGGACATATGGCACACACAGATAGATAGATAGATAGATAGATGGATCGATGGATGGATGGATGGATGGATGGATGGATAGATAGATAGATAGATTGATAGATAGATAGATATATGTGTGTATATAAATATATTTCTATTTACTTATTTATGTATTTATTTCTATTTCTTTATTTATACATACACAGATGTACACACACACACACTTGACATCATAGCTAACACTGGACTCGTGTGTGGCTCCCTCTGCCAGCCTTCCAAATGGCCGATGTTGGACTTCGTAGCTGCGAGAATCAGCGGCTGGGACTCGGTACGACCCTTTCCATAAACAGCCTTCTGCGCTCCCACCTCAATGGGATCGCCCAGTGCCGTTCCTGTGCCATGGCACTCGATGCAGGTTACATCTTCGCCTTGGGTGCCGCGGTCCGCCAACGCCGCCCGCAGCACACGCTGCTGTGCAGTTCCGTTGGGCGCGGTGATGGTCGCCGCGCGTCCGTCGTGGTTGATTGCAACTCCACTGAGGCCAACCAAGTTGCTCACCTCCGCATTCTCGCCGCCGCGGATGAAGGCGGAGCCGAGACCTTCACCCCGTGCGAAACCATCTGCCCGCGAGTCGAAGGTCTTGCAGCGGCCGTCGAAGGCCAAACCACGCATCTTGGAGAAACCCACCTCGGAGCTTTCGTGAAGCCATAAGCCAAACAGATCTGCTTTCCTTCTGCGAGCCCAAGCCCACTGAACCCTTTCACCCTAAAATCCTACGAAAACCACTGGCTCTTCGCCGAGGCGCCCAGATGCAGCCAGACAGCTGGACGTTGGCACCGGTTGCCACAGCACTCTGGCACCTGGCCGAGCTGCTATTCTAGTTGCTCCTATGCTGGCCCTCCGTTGCTTCCGGACTGCGGCCTGTGCGTCGTTCACGGTCTTGCGATTATACTGTATAGCGGGCTGCTCCAAGATTCATGTGTTGTTGCACCCAGAAAACTGTATCGCTAAATCTTTGTCGCAGAGAATTGGTGTACTGGTTTTGTCGTCATGATACTGCTACCTGTTTATCTTGTTTTAGATGTTGCTTCGTTGAACTGAGCGCGACTGGACCAAGAGGTTACAAAGGTTCACCAGTCCAACCTGTTGTCATTCTGCTTGTCGTTTGTCTATCTTGCTGTGCCATTTCCTACAATTACTATCACGATTTATTGTCTGTATTGTCGATGTCTGTACCTTCGACCAGCGTGCCACTGCACTGAGGCATGAGTAGCGTCATGTGGCAGCATGCGATGACGAAGTAGACACTGTAAAACAAAACTGTGCAAAATTGGTTTTCCTACATTGCTGGGCCTTTTCTTGCGACAGCGTGCTGGGCTACAATGTCTGGTCTATAGGCTGGTGTCAACATGTTGAATTTCTGTGATGCTTGCGCGTGCGTACTCACTACTGTTTGTCACTTCTTTGTGCATCATACTGGACATTGGTGCTGTTGCAGCAGCAACTTCGGACCCTTCCGCACTCTAATCATGCTACGTCGTGTGGGCAGTCCGGGCCTTCCCATTCTGACAGCTTGGCAACTGGAGTCCAGAGCGACGATCGTCGAAGAGCAGGCCGTGTCCACGGTGAAGCAGGGGCCCCGCAAGGAGAGGACATGCGAGATGCGGCCTCTCTACGTTTGGGCATACACACACGCTGCACCTATCACTCGCCGCAAAGATGTGTGCGCCTGACAGGCCGGAGTAGGCGAAGCCGATGTTGGAGAATGGTCCCAGCCTCGGCTTCTCGAAACTACTTGGAGGTTCATGGGTGGTTATAAGTGGTGTTATAAGCCCCCTGATATGGGTTATAACTATAGTTACCCTACTTATAACCCCAATTATAACTACCCATGAACCTCCAAGTAAACTCCGCACGTAAGACCGAAGGGAAGGCAAGCAACCCGTACGGGTCCACGTCGTTTCCTCCCAGGTTACAGCAGCCGACGAAGACACCACAGTCCATGCCCTGCAGCGACTCCTGCACAGGATCGAGAGAAGGGCTCCAGTTGCCAAGAAAGTCGAAGCATTCTTCTCGGGGAAACGGCTTCGCTTGAAAGAGACTTCACATCATGGATGACACCGAAGGGTTCAGTAGAACAAAAGCTTTCCCAAGACTGACAGGTCCGAAATGGTTGGTCCTTGTTGAGGCCAGCCGCATGGAATGCTTCGTAGCCTTATCCGGCGCTCCACAGCTGAAGCTGACTTACTGGAGGGAAAAGCTGTGCTGAAATCGCACCTTCTCTGCAAAAAGGGTACGACCGGGCATGACTAAGCAGTATGAACGGCAGGAAAGGCAGCGATTGAGTCTGTCAGTTTTGTTTGCAAGCAGTGCCGCGACTGCATCGTATGTCACGCCGCAGACGCAATCTGCCCATCGACCAACAGATTTGTGAGGAGACCTCTAAACACATCCACTGCCACCGGCCCTGGGGGTGTGACAGTCCAAATGCAAGGTGTGAGTTCCGCAAAATCAGGGACGCTCATGTAGACCTCTAGATGAGTCGAAACCGGAAGAGGTACCCTTGATGTCAGAAACCACCACTCTTCAACAGATAATCACATCCATGCGGCTGATCTCCAGAGACAGCCACCTCAACGAGGGCATGACGACTGTTGGTGCCATCGTTGTCGGTATCTTCTCAGTGCTACTTGTGCAAAGATGATTGCTATTACCAATGCGTCTTGTGTGATTAGGTAACCCAGTTACGATGGTTCTTGATATTACCAGTGCCTATGCGTGGCACGGCCACTACACCTGTCACTGCACTCTGTTGACCGTGCATCTGAGCGGATCTCAGCACTTACCCGCCCGAGGTGCTGGTGGGGATCCATGGATCGCAGCTCCGCCTCGGAGACCCCGAAGAAGTCCCCGTCGAACTGGTCGATGCCTTGAGGTAAGCCACCAGCAGGGATGTAAACAATGGCACAGAAAGTATGGCCTCTGAAACGGAGGCCCAAGGTAATACGGTGGACATGATACAACACAAGTTGACCTCACCTACGACGACGATAGTGCTGAAGGAAAGTTGCTGTAGCACACACTCGCAGCCGCACGTGGTTATTGCAAAGGAATGAAAGCAACCAGCCGAAGCAGCCACTGCCTCAGAAACTTCCTGCCGCTGGCCCCGTCAAACTACCCCCAAAACGCTACAAGTCCTGAATGCTTAATCTCCAACTAAACCCTAGAAACCCTCCCAAAGGCCGAAAAATACCCTGAGGGGGGCCTGGAATGAAGTGACCCAGCCGCACATATGTCTTGCCTGGACAGGATCTCAGTAGAGAGGAGGTCCTGTTCTTGTGATGACGACTATGACTAGATGATCCTACAAAGAACCCTACACCCGAAACCAAGAAACTCTTACGACTAGTGGATGTGTTGGCCACTGTTGTTGCTTCTTTGAGTCTTAGCCGTTCACTGGCAGCGAACCCCACGAAAATAAGAGTCGTAGTTGTAGTCTCAACCCTGCTGCTGAGGATATCTGGACCTGAGTTGACAGCACACAAGTTGCAGTCGTCTGCACGGAAACTGTACTTTAAAGCACGTCCTGCGTAAGGTCTAGGACTGCGAGGTGGTGAAAACCCAGGTTTAGTGGACATTGAAGGATGCAAGTGCTAGTTCTTCAAATCCGTGCAATCACTGCTTGTGGCCTTCTGTGTTTTCTGTGGCCGTTGTAGCAGCGCAGCAGGAGCAGGAGGAGCTACGAAGAGTTATCTTGTCATTATTGCAATGCTTGCAGGTGGCTGTCACTCGGTGCTTGCTATCCTCTCACTACAACTTTTGGGCATGGTAAACCGGAATCCGCACCCACAGACACCGTTTGGGGGGCGGCTTGCCTGGTGCATCAACATCGGCGTCGTAGTAGGCATCCATNNNNTGGCGGAAGCTCTGTCGTAGTGTCCTAGGTTGCTCTAGGCGCAAGACGCCTTGCCTAATCGTAACAGCTGCCGTCATAGCAAGTCTTGCTTCATGAGCAACACCGCACATACCTCCTGCCGCAAGTGTNNCATGTTGTGCCAGTACTCCTCCACCTTAGCACAGGGGACTCAGTAGCAAAGTAAGAACTATAAAAATGATATTACTACTGCTGATCCTACTACTTCTTACCACCAGTAGTAGTAGTAGTAG